GTTTGTACTAAAACATGTACCCACTCCTGCTATGTCTGGAAACCGAGACTACAGTACTTACAAGAAAATTAATAAAAAAAAATAAAGTAGTTGGTTTGCGGAAGATTGCTTAGCGATTCAGACTGACTTATGCTGTACAGTTACTAGACCATAATAACCATAATATATTACGTCATTAAGCTGGTAACATTGCTTTTAACTATTGTGCACCAAGCTACATTAGGCATTGCGTGTATGTGCTTGGACAGACCATTTTGTTGTGGTTAGTTATAGAAGAATTAGTATTATTTCTGGTAATGTACTTCCATGACGGTCAATTCAGGTGGCTTAATGTACGAGTTATGTCTGACTATCTAATTAACATGGCCACTTGCTGCAGTGGACCGTGAGATTTCACTGACGAAGCATGGTGTGCCAGCATTCCGGTATCTTGGTTCTGTTTCTCAACCATGGTGACAGTGTGTGCTTGAGAACTTGCCGAAGTTGAAATGCGAAGCCTTGCATTACCGCAAAATTCCCAAACACAACCATATTTCGAGTACTAAGGTCCAATTATTGAGCCCTTTATTTTGTGAACTGTCCATGAAATAGCATCCTCACGACTCTCCTTAAAGCACGACCGCGGGCCCTTTGCCATGCTGTGGAGCCCTAGGTTGTTCTGAAAAGAGACAAGTCATGTGAATAGTCTCAGTAGTAAACAGAGTGAATAGACAGTTTACAAAGATTGTGCTTTCAGTACTGCAACTGAAGAAGCATCAGGGAAAGACACGTTTATTCGCAAATACGAGGTGGATGCAGGGAAAGTGCCAACTCACACATTATTATGGCTCCTAAAAAACTCGAAGTCGTGAACAAAAAAATGATGAGCAGTTATGTGATTTCATCCTATGGGGTATTCTAAGGAAAGGTGCTTGTATTTGTGTGTGCAAACATGTAGTACAACTTATCAACCTTAAAAAAGACAGACTTAAATATTTGCGATTAAATATGTTTGTTTGGTAACTGCTCCAAAAGCTTGTTATGCTGCTCCAAAGTGAGATTTTTAGTTGCCCCAGAAGCTGCGCCATAGTGGCTACAGTCAATCACATCACTTATTGTGATCTGTCTTTTTTGTTTTTTTTTATGTGCGATGATGAAAATGGTGTTCCAATTGTTCCATGTTGTTTCGAAAGGGAAATGCTGCCTTGTGCCTCTCTAAACTGCAATTTTCACAAGTAACTGCTCCAAAGCTTCTCTGAAGTCGCACGAAGATAGTGAAGATCAAAGAACATTAATCATGTGACAACTGGCTGGGCCTAAAAAAACGAAAAGCGGTCTGTATACTGTAATCAAAGTGTGGTAGTTTTTGTGAAAACCAGTGGATAATGGAGCCAAGGAAGGTATGGAGAATGTTAATATTACTGTTGTAGGTGTACATTAGTAATTGTGATGCAGATGCTCAAAAAAGAAAAAAAAATGGATGAAAAGAGAACTTGCCACTAGCAGGCACCGAGCCTGCAGACTTTGGATACGACGGTCGCACGTTTAGCCCTTGCCAGCGACACGCCGTTTTGTTCACATTGCTTTATTTACATGTTCAGCCTCGCCCACATCTGTGTAGAGCACATGAGCAACTGTTTTTTGTTCTGGGTGGCAACACATTGAGACACTCACGGGCTGTAACACGGTCTGCGTGACTACTAGGCTGTGCATGCTCCCGACACATCATGCCAGATCTCAGAACTGCTTGAAGGGGTCACCCCGTGGAGTGAAAAGCTAGAGAAGCCGTATATGCCACCGTTAAGTAGCAGAGTATAGCTTTTTTTTTTTCCATTGCTGCTAGCAACCATGCACTATGGAGAAGCTGGTGCACAGGCCACACCGCCGAAAGTGGTCGCTGTCCATCTGGAGTCTATCAAGCAACTGTCGTGTGCTCTGTAGCTTGTGAGCTGTGAAATGGTGCTTTTATTTGCTTTAGGTTCATGTATTTGCTTGGATTCAGCAAAGTATTTGCATGGGCTCGGCACCATTTTCGAAAAACATACCGAAATGATCAATACTGCAGGCTAAGGAGGACGCTCCTTGAATCTCGCAGGACCTATATTTTGAGAGTTCGTCATCATCATTTATTTGACCCTTAAGGGCCTCTTAGGGGCATTACATAAGGGGGGGGGGGGGACGTTTTTCTAAATACAAAAAGAAAGAAAAAAATAGAAAGTTGTACAAACACACGAGCAATACTTTTGTAGGATCCAAGAACAGACGCACAAAAAATGTACTTATACAAGTATAAAAACATGCGCGCACAAAATTTACACATACAAGAGTGCAAAATACAGTGACAGTGGTAGAGTTTTAATGGGCTTCCAAGTTTAAGTGAGCTGTTAGTAGTTGTTTGAATGCGCACGAGTCACGCTCTGAGACGATGGCTTTTGGTAAGTTATTCCATTCCTCGATGGCGACAGGAAGAAATGACTTATTGAATGCAACGGTCGTACCGAAAAGACGTTGGAGGCTTCTGGAATAAATAGCCGGCGAGAATAGCAGGCGGGAGAAAGCAAGAGAGAACCATGCAAGTGAGGAAAATAATAGTATAATTTGTGAAATAAAGAAAGTCGAGAAACTATACGTCTGTCAGCTAGATTCTGCAAGTCCAAAGACTCCTTTATAAAAGTGATGCTTGATGAGTGATCGTAATTGGACAGAATGAACCGGGCAGCCCTATTCTGAACGGATTCCAACAGATTAATCAGATAGGTTTGGTGAGGGCTCCAAATGGACGACGCGTATTCGAGCTTCGTACAAACGAAGGTTACGTACGCAGTTTTACGGACTGTAGGAGGTGATAGGCATAACGTTCTTCGGATGTAACCAAGCTTCTTTGATGCCTCAGCAACTAAGTGTTTGATGTGATCCGACCGCGTGAGAGTGTTAGAAATAAGCACGCCAAGGTATCGGTAACTATCAACATACGCCAAGGTCGTTGAGTTTAAATTGTAGACGTGTTCCGAGTTAGACTGTTTGCGAGATACGCGCATGACTTTGCATTTGGAAACATTGGTCTGCATCATCCAGAGTGAACACCAGTTTTCAATTAAGGATAGGTCATTTTGTAGAATTTCGTGGTCGTCAGGGGTGGTTATTCGGCGATAAAGGACGCAATCGTCCGCAAATAATCGAATGGATGATTAAATTCCTGATTCCTTCTGGAGATGGCCGTTTGAGAGAAGAAACTATAAAAGCTTTCCAATTCGGTAATGATTGCGTGGATGTTGGCTTTGTTGTAGTCGCGTATGAGCTTCTTCCGTGAATTATGCCTAGGTACTGGAATAGAGAGGTTGAATAGTATGGTACAGTGATCACTCAGGCCTTCTATACACGTAGGTGAGTGAATAAGGTCGGGGTGGGAAGCAAAGACAAGATCGAGTATGTTGTCACCACGAGTCGGAGTATTAATTATCTGCGTGAGGTTGAATAGTTGTTGCTGCTTATCTTCCATAGCTGGCACCACTTGACCATGCGGCAGGGGCGGTACATGTTATTCGGCACCATGCTACGCCTTTGCGCTTTGCGTTGTGAGGCAGACTGAAAAAGGCTTTTGAACACCCATGGCACAGTCCCGAAGGCAGGTGTTTCTTCCTTCTTTGCCTTACTCGCTGGATTCCGTGCCGACCGGTCGTGCCCTCGCGATCTCCAATGACAGCGCAGCTCTGGCCGACTGGGTTGGTCCTACGGCACCTTCTACCGCCGCCCCCCGACGACGACAGCGTAGCTATGGCCGACTGGATTAGCCCTACGTCATCTCCTGTTGCCGACAAGAGCTCTCGCCAGTGGTGCCTCGTCCTCAGACTCCTGCAACCGTGTCCATCTGTCCTGTCTTCTCCTTTCGTCCCTCCCTGTCCCTGTGCCTCGCTCTCTGCTTCCTCTCTCTCTATCTCTCTACCTTTTAATCCCATCCTTTTGTTCCCTTCTCTACCCCATCCCTCGTGAGCTACTGTTGAAGTGTCCTCCCCCTGAGGGACAGTTACGGGGCTCACTTTTCTCTTCTTTTAATTCATAATCACTTCTCTCCCCCCCTTCTTTGCCGGTCGTTGACACGCCAGGCACGTCGACTGACGATCCGGGACACGTTTTGTCTATCGGGGACAGACTAGGTCGCCTACAAAAAGAGAGCGCGGCATCGCCGCGTAACTATGGTTGCTAACCAGGAAAGACAGGAACATATGCGCTACTCTGCTCCTGTTGGGAGCATACACAGTTACTCTACAAAAAGCAGCTGCTCGCGCGCTCTACACCACATGATCGAGGCTGTACATCACATTTAGTACAATAGAGCTACCACAGCAAAATTAACACCCCCTTACCTTGTATAGCTTCATTATCTGCTGGTTTTTATTTAAGGTTATGCCGAACAAAGAGAGGAGCCATCAAAATGTTCTTCCTTCATTCGTGGGTGCACTAAGAGGTAGCTTTATTGGCTCTGATTTCATTTATGCTACAAGAAGAAGTGGCATGTCAAGCATGTAGATAATCGGCGATCTTTTTTTTTTTCGCACCCTGATATGCCGGTTATTTTTATTAAATGCGAAAATGGCCGAGATTGCTTCGATCCTACACCTTGTATCAACTGCTGCCTAGGGGACAGTGACATGTTAGTGCGGTTACTTCTGTGTTGTGGTATTCAGCATTATCGTTTTGATCTCATTTCTGCCCCAGGCATTGGGGTCTTAAATATATAACTACTTTTATCATTTGTTTGAAAGCTAACCATCTTTTTACTTTTTTTCTTTTACTTTACATTGATTGTTGTCTGTGACACACCTTTTTGCGAGATGCTTCAACGATGCTGAAAACTCCAGGAGCTGTATGGAATGTTCTGCGGTCTGCTCTGACGCACAAATAGCTCCACCAAAGTGGTAATTCTGCTTCAATATCTGCTCTAAAAAATATAAGTTCGGTAGCATCACAAATGTGATGAGAAATTTAAGGTTTTCTGAAAAATTTTGTGTCTTGTCACACAGGCATTGTTCAGTGTTAATGGACCTGGAGATAGAAGACGTGCGGACGCTGATTCTGTCAGACCAGCCGCCCGTCCTACAGCAGACCCAGTTCAGCCGGCTGCAGCGGCTTAAGTTTTTCCCCGACGAGATGAATGCAGTGACGCAAGAGCAGCTTTTTAGGATGCTGTGCAACATTGACAAGCTGACCGAGGCTTGCCTCGGGTGGTGCCAGCTGACGGACGCTTCTCTGGAGGCCCTTGTGGCCTCCGGCACATTTGCCCACCTTCGCGAGTTCGAGCTGAATGAAGTGGAGTACATTTCTGGCGTGGGGCTACGTTCGCTCGTGGCTGCCGACAGTGACCTGGCTGCCCTGACCATCTTTGGCTGTGACTTCGTGACGCGGGCTGACATCGAGCAACTGCGGGAGCAGGTGGCTCAGCAGAACTTGGACCTTGTGATTCGCTACTTCGAGCTCTGAGGCTTGTCGTCATCTGTGGGGCCTCTGAGCTGCAGGTCATCTAAGGGGCCTCTTCACATTCCACACGGCATTTTTCGAATAATTTAATAAGATTGCATTTCGTTTTGCCATATCACTAATGTGGGACTTTGCAATATTATGCGACCAGTCGTCAGCAGCTTTAGTACCACACTGCTCTTTAGAAAACCATGTTTTGTGTTCCTCTTGTAACACATTTCGGTAATGCAATACCTATGTCGCCCTAAGCAATTGAAATAAGCTCTTTGTACATGTCGTTTTATGTTTTGGTAATACAATTGCTGTGTTGCCCTTGGTAAATTGTTTGCAAGCTGCTTAGTTGGAATTCTCATACCAATTTGTGAACTGTATTGTAGATACATATGTATATGTATAGTAGCCCGAATTCGTTTGTGTAACTATATTTTTGGCTGATTTTGTAATTGATGTTGCGTCGAAAATGTGAATATATTCTGTATTGAATATATCAATTTCTAGATAAATGGCTCCTTTTTTTTTCATTCAAATATTCCATTGAATAAACAACTTTCGCGATTCATGAAATTTTTGGCTTTCCTTGTTGTCAACTTTTAGCACGGCTTTGTGTTGATGTTCTAAAGCGGTGCTGTAGATATGTCGCTCGCTTCAAGCACAATTCAGGGGGTTGCTTACTCCGCTTGCCAGTTGTATGTCTGTTTTTCCTAACAGCAGCAGTTATACAAAAGCCAAACAAAGGTGTTGCATCACACCATGCTGTGAGTCGTGTAGAAGCCTCAGTGCATCTACAGTATAACTTCATAACTGCACACCTCCATAGTGAAGAGGATTTTGGTCTGTTATAAAAGAAGTATGTAAAATTCAAGTACTGTGGTTATAACAGACATTTATTAAAACACTGAATGGGTCTCTTATAACTGGAGAGAATTACGAATAATATACAAATTTGTTCTCAATGGTGTACTAAAAAAATTTATTTTTGGATTGATTGATGATAGATATGTGGGGCTCAACGTCTCAAAACCATTGTATGATTATGAGTGACGCCATAGTGGAGGGCTCCGGAAATTTCGACCACCTAGGATTCTTTAACGTTCACCCAAATATGAGCACATGGGCCTAAATTTATTTTTAAAAATCTTATTTTCAGTTTCTGTAGCCCTTTTTCTGTCTGATTCCATAATATTTTCTACTGAAAACTACATACAATTACTGTGACAGGTTTTAGGCACCTGCTGAGATGGTGAAAATCATTGTGCGAGTCTCAAAAAGACAAAAAAAAAACGACAGCAATCTAAAAAAAAAAATGTGTGGCTTAGCAACGCAATCTTTACCTGCCACCGTTCTAAGCTGTTGGTAAAGGTATTTCGTAGAAAGCAACCGGAGTTCAAATAACAGATTCATAATAAAATATTGGGAGCGCAAACTAGCGGGACACAAGAGAGGAGACAAACGAGCACAGACTGAAACTTGATTTATTCATCAAAGACAGTATATACCAGAAAGATAAGAAGGGAAAAGGTATATTTAGGTTTGTCTTTCTGGTATATAGTAACTTCAGTGAATAAAGCAAGTTTCAGTCTGCGCTCGTTTGTCTCCTCTCTTGTGTACCATTAGTTTGTGCTCCCAATATTTCATTATGAATATATTCCAGCTAGCTCGCCCATCAACTCTTCTACAAATAGCTGATGTGTGAAATTCATTTTGAAGCCTCCGATTGGCCGCTTCTGCCACGTTCCTCCAGTGCCCCTCGCCATTGATCTGAAGCACGTCTCGATATCCTATGCCTCCGGGATCGCGTCGTCTGCTTCTTGTGCGTCGCGAGGTTGCGGCTGTCTCAAATCGCGCTACTTAGTGGCGTATTGGCACTCGTGCTGTATTCACAGGTCGACAACCATTCAGGTTACAATCACGCCTGTAATGCAGCTTCATTTGGGTGCACGTTAAAGAACCCCAGGTGGTCGAAATTTCCGGAGCCCTCCACTACGGCGTCTTTCATAATTATATAGTGGTTTTGGGACGTTAAACCCCACATATCAATCATGTAATGCAGCTTCAAGCAGAAGTTCAGTCATCAGATTACGGTCAGGCGTGTCATTGACTGTCATAGCACTGACCCGCTCGTGGGAAGGATCTGCTTGTTGGTGCTTTAAAACTTGTGACAAAGACTGCTTCTGGACAAATCTTTGTACTCTAAGGTGCCAGCGGCTCCTTAGAGTACAACCGCAAATAGCGTCTTCGAGTACAACCGCGAATAGGCATCTCGCGCATCGGTAGCAGACCCTGGTTAAGTGTGCTACACACCAACCGCTTGACAAGCTAAAGGGGTAGTTTGGGATCGATTCTTAGATAAGTAGCCTGTTCATTTGCAGACTAGAGAAGTATTGTGAGTACTTGACGTGCGCTTTTTTCACTGTTGCTGAAAATAATCACCGCTCAAGCACTCCGTACAAATGGTTAACCAGCAAAAGCTGGCACATTTGGCCCTGGTTTTTAGCAGGGGGTTACATGCAACGCTGCTTTGAAGCTTTTCACAATTATTGGTAGCATGTTCGTGCTTCTCAATGAGGTTAGACACACGTTTGGCTTGGGTTTACCACAGTTTTTATTTTACATGCCATACATTGTGCCTCACATGATCACGGTCATGGAAGAATGTAATGAGCGGTTAAAGGCATTTTGTAATGCGTTAATCACAGTGGATGTTCTTGAACCACAGGTGGTCACAGATGTCGCAGCCGAAGTCTAAGTGCCGCTGGAGAAACGGGCATTCACCCAGGTGAACGGGTTCCCACAATTATCCCATTGACACCGCACTGTTGCAAGCGCTTCACATGGCACTTGTGCTTAGGTATGACGCTGCGAACGACGTAACTGATGACACTGCCAATAGAGACTGCTCACGGTACCGCTGCCGGAGGGCTTTTCGTTTCTTTTAGCCATATACAGCTTTCGCTGTAAAAGGCCAGAAAGCAGGGTGTGCAGTGATGATTCATGTGGTCATGTGAAAATGAGGGAGAAAGGTAAGAAGGGTTGCCAGTTTTGGGCTGTACGCTAAAGGGTCGTACACATACACGTTAGTTTTCTTTGACGCTGGCCTTTCATTGCTTGTGAGATCTCCAAAGAAAATCCCACATTTAAAAAGGTAGTGCGATTAGAACTCGTGTACATTTGCTGCCTGTGTTCTGTTGCATGATGCACAGGCTGTATGTGGAGCACAGTTGTGTACAGTCTTTGTAAAAACAATGTGGGCTATTTTGTGCCTTCACTGGACATGCGTGTCATTTGATGTAGTGTGGCTCTTGTGGTCTCGGTCATGTGTACAACCTCCGCTTTTCAAGTGCGATAGTTCCTTTAATTTTGAGTCTTTAAGCATTCTGTACATCACTGAGAGTCCTTTAGGAAGCCTATAGTCAGTGCTGTGGTTGCAGGCAGCATACTGTAGCCTGTTTATTTTTGACGAAAGCTGTATGCAAGGCAACCTTTTTGTTTTGCTGTGTTTGATGAAGAGCCAGTGGGCATATCATGTGCAACCAGGGCATGGAGCTGTTGCCGACTTTGTTACCACGCAAGAGCCGACAGACATATTTTTGTGCGTAGTTGTGATATAGTGTCACGTTGTGCACAGCAGTGAACTACTGAGCGCACTTTGCGTAGTGCTCTAGGGCGTGCATGTAAACTAGGACATAGGAAGTGCGTTGCTTTAGTGTCTTTTATGCAGTGCTTGTGTCAATCTTGCCGTCACCGTTAGTACTTTTCGGGCGTGTGATGAGTTGAATGCTTACATAAGTTTCGTGCATACTGAGTGTCTTGGTGTGTCCAGGCTTTTTCTTGTGTGTTGTTTTTTTTCACCATTTCACCTATAGGCTTCGTTATGAATGTGGTCACTGAGAATTCATGTGGCAGCTATCAGGTAGTTTCTGCGCTCGTCATAGCAGACTAAAAACAATGCACGCTAAAAACATCGTTGCCAGCGTAAGCCTTGCTTTTTATGCTCGAGAGTGTTACATGAAGGCACTTGCAAATGTTTCACGCAACGAATTTCGACACGCACAAAGGGTATTTTGCATACTAGAGAAGGGTTATTGCTTCATCGTAGTGTTTCCAGTCTCAAAGCTTGATGTGCATTCACGCCAGTAATATTGCCATTTTATTATGTTGTGCCTAGATTAGAGAAAACTTGATTTTCAAACACTGAAAACAAGTTTGCTGGTTGGATTCTTAGCTGCCTGATCTTTGGTAATTTCGCGTTACTGGGGCTTACCCACACAGCAGCGAGTGACACCAACAAAAAATATGTTTAGCACCAACCAAATATTCAACCATGATTACGCAAGTACCTCAATAACTGATAACCACTTTTACACAGATAGTTCAAACTGGATGCATGTGCTGCAAACATGCATGCTTACATATATAAACTGTTGCCAGCATCTGCATGGAATGATACTTGTGAATACTTCAAGGCAAGCTTCTGTAAAATATCCAACGACACTTCAAGCCTATAGAAGCACACATTTCAAGATTCAGCGATCACCAAAACACGAGTCAAAGTGCTAACTTTAATATTGAAACTGCGAAATGAGTCGCCATAGCAACAAATATTACCTTAACAGTCAACTCGGCATGACCTTTGAGGTAAGGCAGCGCCTTTGCTCAAAGTTCCCTGAAACCATCCGAGGGTGATACGCTGGGAGTCTCATGATTATCGTCACTACCCAGATGCAGACTGCTAAAGAAGACTAACTGTGCCAATACCCACCTCGTGGCATTGCCAGGGTTCGCTTATTGGTACATGTCTATTCATCAACGAGAAACTAAGCCATTGTGATATTTTATTGTAGTTGACCTTAACAGTTGTTATCTATATTACTGGCAGTATTTAGTATTTTTCACTAAATTCTGGTATTTTTATTGTCCGCAAGTTCTTTTATGCTATAGATAGCAAGTTCGCTGCTGGGTAGGTGTGCTACATTAAAACCTTGATATTAGAACCCGGATAGAACGAAATACGAGTTACAACGAAGTAAATGAAAAAAATCTTGCAATATATATAGTGTTGGAAATGAACTTTCATAGCAAATTTTCAAATAGAATGAACTTATTTTCGTGTAATTTAGAACTTAGTTAAATTATTATATAGAGGTTTGAGTGTATATACCCACTTTTGAGCTGCCTGCATTTGAGTGAAATTTTCGCACATACAAAATGCACAGACATGTGTTGCCAGTTGTGTAAATTAGTTGCCACATGTGTGCATTTAGCTGGGAAGTTGCAGAAAAGAGCATGCACTTGGCATCTGTGGCTTTTGCCACCAAGTGTTCAAGTGTGAGCGTTTAGGCATTGTTCTTCAGGTGCAGACATGCCATTGGAGGTATGTTTGGCATCTGCTGCATGTTCTGTAGTTCATTTACACTACTTTTCAAGCATTGTAGCTGGTCTTGTTGACAAAGAGGAGTTGTGTAATTCAGATATCTTCCATAACCTGGTAGAACATGAAGTGGCATTCTATCTGATGTGCTTGAATGCAACGAGTTGTGGGGTTTGACCTACTGTGCAATGCAGTT